CTTTTTCTCCTTAACAGTCTCATGAGTGTACCCAGTGTTGTAAAATTATGCCAAAACGAAGAGCAAAGTCCTTGTCCTGAGAAGCAGGCCGGGTGAAAGGCATGAATGACGCAGGGCCAAATGATAGGACACGGGGGGAAGTGGGGACCAAAACATGGGAGGGCCAATTCAGGGCCCCAACTCACAGCAGGAAATAGAAATTGAGATTTGCAATGATAGTAATAGTAATGGCGACGCTTTGAGTGGTAATTATGTGCCATGCGATAGCATCGCTCTGATTCCCTAAGGCAGGTACTATTTATCTAACTGGAAAATGAAGATTTCTTTTAACTGTTTAGTTTAACAAATACTGCTAATGCTCCCAAAGTGCAAAACAAAATTCTCTGTGATCCTTACAACGTAGGAACTACTTTTCTCATTTTATAGATGAAGAGAATGAAGCAGTCAGGTTAAGTAAGTTGCTCTTGATCACTTGGGTAAAAAGTGGGAAAGCCAAATTTTGAACCTAGGAAGTCCAAATGACAGAGCCAAGATCTGGATCCAGGAAGCCCAACTCTGAGAGCACCAGACTCATAACTACGTGCCCTGACTCCAGAGCCTGCACGGCTGTCATGTGCAGTGACGCACACCGGATGACCACGTCAAAGATGCTCATGCTATCAACACGCACAAGTTCACCTGGCCTTTAATATCACAACAAAAAAGTGTTTTTTGAAGAATACTGTTTAAAAAAACCACACAGATTTTCCTTCAACAAACATGCATGAGTGTCTGATCATGCTGGGCACCATGGAGGCACCAGGCCAACTACAGGGCCTAAAAGAGACAAAATGAGGGAAAACAAGAAAACAGGATAGGATGTTCATTTAAATGACGGATACACTAGATTTATCAGGAGCAACAGGGCCAAATAGGCAACAGGAAAGAGGGGAACATTTCACTCTTATACAGGGAATGTATAAGAACTATAAAAATACATTTTTGGGGGCTGGACTGTCCTGCCTGAATACCATTTAGCCCTTTTTTCCTTTCCTTTCTTCTGTTGCCTTTCATTTTAGTTATAACAGTAAAACACATTGTCAAATATATATGTGTAGACATTGTTAACAATTTAAATGCCTTGGGTGTCAGTAACAGCATTAACAATAGCAGCTGTCACATACGGCGGCGTGTGCACTGGGAATAGGGCATTAGTCTAAGCACTTTACATGTGTTGACTCATTTAACCCTCCTAACGAACGACCCCATGAAGTAAAGGCTATTATGATCCTGATTTTATAGGGGAAGATACTGAACTCAGAAAGATTAAGAGAATTTGCCCAAGGATATAATGCTGAAAAGTGGAGAATTTAATCTATTAACTGAAATTAGGTTTTGGATTATTTGTATATTTACTTACCCTTTGAATCCCCTCCCTAGTAACAGTATGACTAAGTATTTCACAAGTGTGGAAATGGTATAAGGCATGTAGACCTTTGAGACTGGAATGAAAAATTGGTATAAAAGATCCCTAAAGAAAGATGAGACATTGGGAGTTAAGATTCTGAGTTTCATAATAGATTTTGCAAATCTAACTTGCATAAACATCTACTTTGGAGACAGGAGGGTGACAGTCTTTCCATTTCCTATCTCACCTTATTCTTTTAAAATACATTTTTACTTCCTGACTCCTTTATAATGACCCAAAGTAAAATAAAAATAAATAAAACCACTAAAAGTTAAAATAAGGAAAAAAAATCCTCTCAGCTACCCCCCACCCAGAAAAACAGAAAAGCATTTGTTTGGAAATCTCTTTTGTGATTGTGTGGATCATATCTATTCAAGAACAGAATATTCCCTTGAGAACCAGAAAAATAATTTGGTTTTCTCATATAGGAGATGACAAAGTCTAGTCTTTCCATTTGAACTTGGGTTTTAAACCTTAACATAATACAGAGTCTAAAAAATTGCAGCTCTCTATTACAGGGACAAATAAAATGCATTGGTAATTCATATATTCAGTCATCTTGTTCCCTGTTAGCACAGTTCACTAATTTCTAGATGCAAGGCAGGGGCAGAGCTCTGGGATGCCCTCAAAGAGAATGCCAGGACCTCCGGACCACACCTTCCTCCAAGCCTCTCCCTGGCATTCTCCACATCCCAGTGTTCAACTTTTAAGTTTCCAAAGTGGCTCCTACCTTCTCCTCTCTTTGTTCAGGCTAGTGTTTCTGTTGAGAATCCTCCCATCTATTTCACTTATTTGCCTGTTTAATTTATTTCTGCTTCAAAACCTAGCTCAGGTATCATCTAGTTTTGGTATGTTCTTTGACCCCTTTCCTAAGCTAGCTTCATGGCAACATGCTCAAATAGGATTTTTCCCTGACCCTTAACAAGCTGTTAATGTGACTGCTTATTTATTCTTTCCCCCACTAGACTAATTCATTTACTCAACAAACATTTCTTGGGCACAGGATTTGTATTTGCCCAGGATTCTGATAAGTGTTAGGGAGACAGATAAAAGAAACTCCCTGGAGTTTCTATGATTCCTGGAGATAATGATTCTCAATAACTGTTTGTGCAAGGAGTGAATGGAACTGGGTCATTACAAAAATAGTGTAAGAGGAACAGAGGAAGATTAACAGTCACGTGGAAGTGACCCGGTGTTCCCATTTTTCCTATTTTGCACATCTGACTCTGTTGCGTAACAGCTTTCCAAGCCTCTTCTTTCCTTAAGTTTTGTTCCCTAGCCGACTCTTACTGCCGGCTTTCCTGGAAGCAGAAACTGTGTGACCCTTGGTCTTAAATTTCTCTGAGCTCCAACTTCCTCCTCTGTAAAAGGGAGGTAACAGCTACATCGCGGAGCACTGTGGGAAGAGTGATGTGTGGCTCACTTTGTAAAGTGCTCAGCTCAGAGTCTGGCTCTTAGAGAACCCTCTGCCCTGCCCTTTGTCCCCCCCTCTCCCACACCGCACCCTCCCTACCAGAGTCATCAGGGAGGCAGCGGCATGCACGATGATTTCAGGTGGTACATGGGAGCACATTTTTAGAAAGTGTTACTATTTTGATATATCAAAAATATTTAGCCATTAAACCACATAAAACTTTTGGGGTTTAAAGCTTTGGGTATATAAAAAAAAAGATGGGTTTAAAATTTTTAAATATTAGTCAATACAGTGGGAAAAAAAGAGTAGATGCCTGAGAAATACTACAGAAATGAACAATAACATAATACAAACAAAATATTTAACAGAAATCCACATGCTGCTATATTTATTATGCTTGTTCTCAGAATTTGACAAACTGACAGGCAGCCACAAATATACTATGCATTTCTCAAATGTAACCTGTCCAGTTTTGCCCCTGCTAACATAGCAAGTCAAAGAGAATTGTTTGTTTACATTTAAGCTTAATGCTCAAATTGAACTTCCAAAGAGGCCTATGTTCTCCATACTATATATCTCCCTTTCCTGCTCTGTGAAATGAGCATAGCAATAAAGTCTATCTCATTAGGTTGTCAGGAGGGTCAAATGGTAACATGAAAGAAATGTAATAATGGACACATATGTGTAAACCCTTGTCATCATTAATCCAGAAGGGACTGGCCGCCCTGCAGCTCCTGGCACTGCGAACTCGTCTCCTGCCCCTGCAGCCTCCAGAGTTATTTATCCCCTTACCCCAGTCTTCTTGCTTTTTGATATTTTGTGATAAAATGAGCCCAAAAAAACCTTCCCATCTCTGAACATGTGCTATTCAGTAATTTGGGGAGATTAGATATTCTGTTTAGTTTCCCGGTCCTTACAAACTTCTACCCCGACCGCAAACTTCTCCCTTCTTCTGCAGACTCACGTTAGAATCTGAGACATCCCTGGGTCCCTAGAGCCCACCTATCTCACTATTCTTCAGACTCGTTTGCAGTAGGGCTAATTCCCAGCCTCCCTCCGCGTTAGGCTCTATGAAAGGCTCTCACCAACCGAATCAAACCCCAACTACAGCTGTAGTTACCAGGCCCTGGATAGTGTGACCGAGATGAAGCTGTTCTCTTTACAGCGAAAGGCTATTTAGTCTTAATGATTATGTCTGCGCTGCTGGGAAGGCCAACAGGCCAAGGGGCTTCAGGAAGTGCCCGGTGGGGTCCACGCACACGTCCAGGGAACCTGCCTCTCTACCTTCCTCCGATCCAAAGTCCCTTGGGAAAGGTAGAGAAGCACCTTTTGCACAGAGAAGTAGACTCAAGAGCCAATTCATCCTCCAGGGAAACCAGGCGCACGCTGCCCAGAAGGCTGCGGCGCCCGCGTCCCAGCCCCCGCCGTCCTCAAGGCCCCAGTCGCGTTCCCCCTCCGCTCCACACTCGCCCTGGCGCAGTGAGCGACACGTCTCCCTGGCCTGGGTTCCCGGCCAGTGCCTCCCTTTTCCTCTAACCAAGCAGGCAGGTCCCGGTGTACGGAAGGGGCACTCCACCCGGCTGCAGGATCTCCAGGAGGAGCCGGGGCGCTGCGGTTCCCTCGGTGCCCCCGCCACCCGCGGCCCGAGTCCCTCCTGCCTGCGCCGCATCCTCCCCTCCTCGGCCCTGCGCGCCCGGGTCCCGCTCTGCACCACCGTCTCCTCGCCTCGCCCAACCCCAGCGCCGGCGGATGCGCCCCGGGCCACGCGCCCCGGACCCGGGCTCAGCCGCGACCCCGCGCACCCCGCGGAGCCGGCGCTTCACGCGGCGCGCGGCCCTCCCCTCCCTCCTGCCCCGAAGGGGACTCCGGACTCCCCAGGGGCGGCCCCCGCCCTTGCTGGCCTCCGGCGACCCAGCTGTCAGGAACGAAGGGCCTATTTTAAGTCCTGCCCCGGTCCCCGCCCGTCCGACTCGGGCCCCACCTTGCCAGCGAGAGCCCAGCTGATGGGAGCTGATGGGAGCCGCTCCGGCCCGGGAGGACCCTGCGCCCTGCGGGAGGTCCCGGCCGGCGTGGCGCCTCTCAGGCACGGGGGTCCCGGAGCCGGGCGCCCGCCCTGTCCCCCGTGCCCCCGTGCCTCACCTGTAGTCACCGCGGAGGACCCGCGCGCCCCTCGCCTGCAGCCCCGGACGCTCGGCCCGCGGGACACCCACAGCCCCTCTCACCTGCCGCCTCTCCGCGCTGGGACCCGGGAGTGTGCGGAAAGGGTGGGCGGACAGACCCTCGCCCTTCCGTCCGCCTTCCCGGCGGCAGATCCCAGCCTGGAACCCGCGCCGCGCCGCTCTCCGCGGACCCCTCGCTCCGCCCCGCCGCCAATCGCCGGCAGCCACCGAGAGGCCCTCGGCGGGGCTACAGGTGGGGCGGGGCCTGCGGGGCGCGGAGGCCGCTGTTCGCTGGTCGGTCCGCGCGCGCTTCGGATGCGTTTTTGCGAGCGGAGGTGGCACCTGTGGCACCTGCCGTCGGTCCTCTGTGCTGCACACACCGACCGTCACCGGCGGCACTGAGAGTCGGGGGACCCTAAACTGCCTCCAGGCTGGGATGTCAAACCTGAACTTGACATAGACGTAAGAAATAAACCCCCGAGGAAGGGGCACACGCGAACACCCCGGCCCACAGCCAGTCACTGTGCAAGAGCCGAGCAGGGGACGCCTGCCAGGACTTAGCCATGGGCAGCGGTCCGTCTGGGAGTCTTTTTTCCTGCAATTCCATCTGAAGCATATTCCTCAGTATATATGGAGAAGGAATTAGGATATGATAAACACTATGATTTCAATTCTATTTTTTAAAGCCACTATCTACCATTTTAAGGAAAACTTTATGTTAAAATCATTTTCTGATGTTAACCAAATTCTCATTTTTGGTTCTTATTTAATAAGTGATTGGCATTGTAAAGATAGCATAAATACATTTCGCTCTGCCTAAGTTGAGATTTAGTAAATGCAACACCCAGGTTTCTACAACAAAAAGCCATTCCAGAGAAGACATAAATGAAGATGGGATCAATTCAGTTCTAAGACAGATATTAGTTTACTGTGCAACTGCTAACTTTTTAACAAACTGCTTATTTAATCAGTTCTCGGCATCTGTATCTTAGCTAGTGTTGAAAAGATCAAAAACAGCAGTTCAATGCCTAATTTGCTAGCGAACTATGGTGCTGTCTGTATATGCTGTTTGTGTTCATCAGGTATGGGCTGAGTGTATTCATCTACAAAGCAATGAAATGTTGAGCAAAGTTCAAGTTCGTCCTCTTTTGTGACTGCTGTGTTGTACATCATGAGAGCTTGAGAAGAGCTGGAAGCAGTGTGGATGGTATAAGGCCACTAACTGATGACCCTTGACCTCCTGTGCTACAATCAAAAACTTGAGCCAGTGATGGCTACCTGAACCACCAAGTGATCTTCAAGTAACCCACTGTTTGAAAGGGTGGGAAGAAGCTCTAACCAGCAACATGAATATTATCAAATTCATTTTAATTTATCATCAGTTCATTCACTGGCTCTGGAGCAAATAACCTGGGTCTGAACCTCAGAGCTACCACCTAACAGCTGTGTGAACTTGGCCACGTCACTTATGCTCTTAGTGACTCCGTTTCTCCATGTGGAAAATGGAGAATGTTTCTTGATACGGTGTTTTCCTGTCTTAAGTTAGTTTCAGGCAGTTCTACAAACTCAATAACGGAGGAAGGTAAAATGTTTACAACTGAGAGAAAAAGCTTACAGAGAAGTTAGAATTTACTACCATTTTGACAAAGTAAAACTGATTGAACCCTCCACTCTAAAATTACATAAACATTGGTCCTAGGTATGGTTACTGGTTTTGTTGTTAAGAAAAGTCTACATAAAAAAATATTCCCTAAGTATATTCTTTTGAGCTAATCCTAGTCCTTGGAAGCAGAGTTCTGTGCTCCAGTAAGTTTGGAAAGTACTATGCTAACAGTTACTGTGGGGTTCCTCAGAGGCTCTGTAAGCTGGGCTGCCCTGTACAGTATTTCTCTATGATCATGCACCCTTTTTGAAGTAACCTCCCTCAGGTCTAATGATCAGGAGAACATCCATTACCAGTGAATGCCTGAGGAGGAAAACAGAATAATTCAAACACTGTATGACAGTGCTGTGAAGTTCCTTTGTGTATACATCATCATTACGAAGTTTGATAGTGATGTTAGTAGGCTTTCACATATATTTTTTTCCTTTGGTAGACATTTAACATTGGGTTCATTTTACAATTAATAATTATTATAATTAGTAAAAAGACTTGAGGTTACAAAACACCTTAACATGTATTATGCTACTTGATACTAAAAGAAGCCAATCATATAGGTATGATCTCCATCCAATGGGAGAGGAAAATGAGGTTCAGAGAGGTTAAGTGACAAGTTCAAAGACACAGAGGAAAAGTCATCAGATGGGAGCATGAACTGCTTTTCTGGCTTCAAATTCAATACCACCTCTTCCACAGGTCCTCTCCCTTTTCTTCTGAGCATTTTCTTTACTAAGACTGATTACTGTTTTTCTGCCTACAATGTAGCTAACCCTAAATGGCATGCTTAGTCACAAAATTATGACTTTTTAAATAATGACTATAAAAGTAATGCTCTTTTTAATCATAATTACATGAGCCTTTATAAACTTCTAATGTCACCATCATGATCTTCTCCTGTATCAGTTTGAATTTGACTTATGTGAGAAACTGAGTAATACCATGAATTGTATTTATGGTTGAGTCTCTTTAGAATTATGTTCTCTAAATGGGCTACTATTTATTACTGGCACTAGAAAAAATGTATTTGAATAGATCGCTCACCATCTCCATTTCACACATGCTGAAACAGCTAGAAACTGGATCTCAAAACAAAATCAAACTACATCTAGAATCTTAGAAGATCCGACTTTAGTGTCCAAGATTGGGCTGTCAGAGGCTGGACTCTGAGGTTTTGTCAGGAGGTGAGACAGGCGAGCAGTGCCCAGGCCACAGGTGAGGTGGCTCAGAGGAGAGAGTGCACAGGGAGTGTTCACATCCAGCACCCAGCCTGAGCGGCTGGCGTTGTCTCTCTGGTCTGGAAATGGCACTACATGAAGACAGCTGACCAGTCGTATCCATGAGGGCCTCTGCCTCCCTTCCCAGCTCAACCAACACTCACAGCACGTCAGCCGTACTCCTCTGTTCGGCCCATATTTGGACCTGCTCAGCACCCACGCTGCCCCTGCTAGCTCCCAGTGCCATGGTCTTCCCTACTTTGGTGCTTTTGAACACACTGTGCCTATTTCCTGGAAACCCTCGCCACAGCTCTGCCTATCAACTTCACCTCTTGCTCATCTTTCCAGACCCAGCTCACATGTTACCACTTAAGCTCTTTTCACCACTTTTCCAGCTCTTCCAGCTATTTTTGTTTTCTTGGTAGCCTGGGGACATGGGATGGTGGGGAAGTTCAAAGAAGCATGGAGAAAGAGAACTAGCACGTTTTGGACATGAAACTTAGTTTAGTACTTACAACCACTCTATGAGGTGGATGTTTTTATCCCCATTTTCAGATGAGAAAACAGACTGAACAAGTTGCAAAAGACAGAATCAGAATTAGGACTCAGGTGCACATGATTTCCAAGCTTCCCCGATTCTGTCCCGTCATTAGACTTGCCCCATTTGGGCCCCAGAAGTGCACGACAACACATTGTTTCGGCCGCTATTAGACTTTGAGCTCCTCAGTAGCCTGTCTGTCGTTATCTGTGTTCCAGGCATTTGCCATAGCACTTGGCACATAGGTAGTCAGTAGACATATGTTGAATGAGTGAATAAACAAATGAAGAATGCCTTGTTATTTGCCTATTGTAACAAATACCATTTGTGCTTGAGTTATTTGTTAAATAAAATTACCTGTAATTTGTCCCTAACCATATTTTGTGTATTCTCTCTGTCTTGTCTAAAGTTAATTGTGATTAGGTGTTCAGTTATAATTTTGATGCCCAGAGAGATGATCTGTGATTTAGTCCGCCAGGCTGCCAGCTACTCTAATGCTTTGCACAACTTGTGTTTGAACAGAGACTGACATTGATTTGGTATTGCCAGATAATGCAATGGCATGTTGGTTTCAGAAAATATCAAATTACTCTAAAAGCAAACTTTACCCTTTGCTGCATTCCTCGGAGAGTTGCAAACTTATTCAAGTCAGTCTTAACTTTATATTTCCTTTATCTGGAAAAATAAAATGAAAGAACTTATTGCCAAAAACTAGACATGTTTAGTGAGAAGTATCACATTAAAATATATGTTTTCCAAATGTTCAAGAGGTGGAATGTGTGAAGTTAAACAGTTGGTTTCTGATTTCTGGAATCAGACACCCTGGGGTTTGAATACCAGATCTGATGCTGACTAGCTAATAATTAGTTATTAGTTGTACAAAAACTAGGCAAATATTAACTTTGCTGTGCCTTCAGTTTCCTCATCTGCAATTTGGGGTAACAAGTGCACCCTTTATAGAGTTGCTTAAAAAAAAAGTAATTAGTTAAGGCACTTAAATCCTATATCCTTTTTCACATTGAAAATGCTGATACAGTCACATCATTTGTTAGTGAATAATTCTTACAATTACCCCCAAACTTTGTTCTCTCCCCCTGGACCTGTTTCCTCTCCTTAGTACAAGAAGGCAGGTTGTGTCCCGTGTGACCTTAATTTCTTGCCCAGCTTCTGCATATTTACTTCTTTTTTCTTCTGTTACTACCCCAAAACCCCAGTTAGCTGTCTTTTTCCTTCTGAAGAGATGAAGGCTAGGAAACGACTCTTAATGTGCTTCCTAATTTTCACAAGGCCAAATCAGAAGCACCATTTACAGGGTCTCAGGCCAGCACTAGCGTTTGGGGCTGGGTGTAGGAGGCGGGTAGTCACACCTGGGCTGCGCCACAGGCTCCCAGAGGTCTCGCAGGGGGAGGTTGCTGTTCCTCCAGACGGAGCTCTGCAGGGCTTTGTCGACGTGTATTTGCTGAACAGATGAATGACGGGATGGGTGGGTCAGTCCCCGATGCCTCTCTGGTTTGGGAGAAGTTGCAATGCTGAGTCACGATTTTCTTAAAGATAAGAATGGAAGTTTATCAAACAAAACCAGTTCAGGCTGAAATACCATAAAGACGACTTTGGAGCTTATGGGTCTTAAAATTACAGCCTGAGTTACTGGCCTTATCTTACTTCAGCCCAGAAGGGGGCTGATCCCAATCTGTATGGGACGCTATGAAGGTAGTCTGTCATCTGTGCCATTTTACGCGGCTGCCGCTGGCCGAGGGGGTCTGCCCTGTGTCACCCCGGGGGGCCAGTGCTGCTCCAGCCCCGGCTCTGACGCGGCTCTC